ACGGTGGAAGCTGTTAGCAAGCCCGCACGGTTATGTACAGCGGGTATTTAACGGAAGAAAGACGAGACCAGAAGAGAGGGCTCGATGGACCAAGGGGATGATCATTGACTTTGCACTGCTTAGTGGAGCGTGGCGGGGAGAAGGAGAGAGAGGTCCTAGTGCGGTTATCTGTACGGCCACGTGAGTATTTCTTTGCACTCCTCCTCCTCCGCACTATTTGGTCCGTAACGGATGGTATGCTATGAGCTGCCACCCGAGCTAGTATCGCTCAGTTTCCTTCGTCATTCTGTTCGTCACTCGTCGATGCTCATCCGTTATTATTTGCAGGTCGAATGTGTGCAAGATGGCCGCGGTCTCACTCGGGTGGAATGTTGCATTCGAGAAGAAGGCCTGGATTGATATCGATTGGCAGGGACAGATATGGCCACCATGGAGTGCATTCGAGTATCATTGATTTCTACCGATCTAAATAACGAACTGTGTATAATTTATGACAAACCTTTATTATCCAAGAGGATTTTTCATCAACCGAGTGTGTTTTCCAAAGAGGCCTTTTGAATGTAACCTCGAGGCTGGATGTTATGAAGTGATTGGCTAGCGCTGGTGCCTTCATGCGCGCCGCCACGGGTCCAACCTGCGAGGCTTTGCCACTAACCGCTTGTTCAGGGCGAGTCGAGTAACCACCAACAAATACACTTGGACACGACCTCTTCCTTGACGACTTTTTCACGAACCTCCTTCTCTTCGACGCAAAAATCTACACATAAACCAATAACTAGGCGATTATCAGCCCCTTGTTGCCAACACTTTCAGATTCGTTCAACTTTCGTGCCAACTTGACAACGTCAACTAGCCCAATGGTCAGTACAACAAGCAAGCTGACAAGTCGATCCATCTCCTTCACATCCCCCGTCTCTTCCATCGTTCGACTGCTCGATGTTGATGCCATTGTTGGACGACTTGTTATCCCCCCTTAGCGCTCATTATACTGGAGAACGTTCTGATCTAATACATCGTTTGTGTTTTCTATATTTAAATAGGACTCAAGAGATCCCGAGGAGCTTTTCGTGAAACAGGACCGGATCGGTGAGTGTGGCGGCTCTCTGCTTCCAAGACCCAGCCCGTCTGCCTTATTCTTTCTTTATGACTTCATTTTCAAGCCGGATCTCAAGGCAATCATGAGAGATAACGCGTGATGCTAACATCTTGCCCTGATTATAGGAAAGGGTTCGTTTGGTGAGGTTTACAAGGGGTGAGTAGTGGTTTCCTCCCCTCCCCCCACACACTCGTCCCAGCACGTCGTATTCTCCATGACACCAGCAAGCCCCACCCGGAAATAGATTAGAATGTGGGATGATCATGTATACTGATATTTCCCCCTACAAGGTTGGACAAACGGACACAAAAGACGGTCGCGATCAAGATTATCGATTTGGAGAGTGCAGAAGATGAGATTGAAGATATTCAACAAGAAATTCAAATTCTGTCACAGCTTGATTCCTCTCATGTCACGAAGTAGGTGGTCACGATCCAGCCCTTGTCTTGGTTCCTGATTCTGTACCTAGGTATCATGGCTCTTACCTCCAAGGATCAAATCTATGGATTGTCATGGAGTGAGTCTTCACACTTGCATCGGTGTCTATTCTAAAGCGTCCTATCAGATATTGTTCCGGAGGTTCTTGCTCCGATCTCGTCAGTCTTTCATTGGTCCTTAACTGAGGTGAATACTCATTTGAACCCACCATCAGATGAAACCAGGTGTCTTCCGTGAAGAATACATTGCTATCATTGTGCGAGAGTTGTTACGTGGCCTAGAATACCTACACTCGGAAGGGAAGCTGCACCGTGATATTAAAGGTGAGCACACTCGAATTCGCGGATGAATTGGGCACCTAATATCCCACTCAGCGGCCAATATTCTTCTGAGTGCCAATGGGGACGTCAAATTGGCCGACTTTGGTGTATCAGGCCAGCTCAGTGGTACCCTATCGGCCAAGAAGAATACATTTGTTGGAACACCGTATTGGATGAGCCCAGAAGTCATCAAACAATCCGGATATGATCAAAAGGCCGATATCTGGAGTTTGGGCATTACGGCCATCGAGCTCGCCAAGGGTGAACCGCCATACGCCGAACTCCACCCAATGAAAGTCCTCTTTTTGATCCCGAAGAACCCGCCGCCGGTGCTGGACGGACCATTCTCCAAGAACTTCAAGGATTTTGTAGCTACGTGCCTACAACGTGATCCTCGTGATGTGAGTCTTGATTTATCCAATAATGAATCCTAGACCGATGTGAACTACTGCACAGCGTCCAACAGCAAAGGAGCTTCTCAAACACAAGTTTGTCAAAATGGCAAAGAAAGCAACGTACCTCACCGAGCTCATAGAGCGACACGAAAGGTGGAAAGCAGAAACGGGTGGAAAGCGGGACGATCGCGATGATGATAGGAGGCGAAAGCACGAGTAAGTTTGTTGCATTTATATATCCCCTCGTATCTAACCTCTGTGTAGGGAAGACTTTGATGAATCGACAGACGACTGGGACTTTGGCACAGTCCGACACGTTGGTGATTCAGGCACTATTGGTAGAGCAGTACCAGAGCCCATCTTAGAAGACGATAGATATACTCCACCTCTATCATCACAGGAACGTAATCCTTCTTCTAGCTCAGCAGGAAGCTCGACTTTATACGCACATAATGCGAATGGTCATTCCTCGTCGACGACTGTAGTTGAGGTGAAAGAATATCTCCCTCCGCCACCTCAAAAGGTGCAGAATCACCATCCAGTCGCATCGCCTAGTAATGTAAATAAGGCGCTGCCTACACCTGCCCGTGTCAATGGCAAAGTTACCAGTCAATTTGAAGAGGATAGTGACGGTACAGTTGGAAGGACGCATGACAGGGACAGAGAATACCATTCCAGAGATGCCTCGTATGGGTCAACTGACTCTGAAGAGCTCAGAATGGAGTTTGAAAGGACCCAGTTAGGCTCCCCGGTACCGCCTACTATGTTGGATTCAGTCGTTGTGCCTGCCATTGCATCGGTAACCTAGTTTCACTTTTGCCCTGTTCCTATTGCTGACCAGCGATCATTCTTAGCTGTTCCCTCGGGTAGCGACCGCGGAAGCGCGACTGGCTCTTACGACACTCCAGAGGGCCTTCATCGAAGCGGAAAAGATCATTCCTGGCGTAACAGACGAGATTGTGAACGAGATTGTTGACTCGGTCGAGCATGTTGACGAAGGAGAAGAGGCGCGATGATGTGCCCGTGAAACTATACACGTAGCGGATTCTCCTTGGCTCAGCGACGACAATACTTTCTTGGACAGTAAAGGACCCTATTTCGTTTGGTTCGGCAATCACCCCGTACAGTCTGTGCTGGCAAATCGCCTATCCACCCTACTTATTGTGGCAAGGGCAGTCTGGGGTAATACCATTGATTTCAGCTATTCTACCACCGATTATCCAACCTCCGCTCTTGGCTCTCTTGTCTGACTGCTTAATTCATTGCACTCTAGCCCCTTTCCTGTTCGGTCACTCCTCCCCGTTTTCAGTCGTCTTACCTCATCAGCTATCAAGATGGCTGTTACAACCTCGGAACTGTCGTCGAACTGTCCATCTTGCTCGGTTCGTGTGTCTGCCTTTCTCATCTTTTCTTTCCATTTTCTCTCTTCTTTTGTCTTATAGTCCACCGCGTTTTGTAATAGTAGTACTGTGATCCCCTGTACCTGCCAGGTGCTCAGTCTCTTTTCGCACATGCTGCCTTTAGATGTCTCGTTACATAAGACATCTTAGCCGCAAAAACACATGTGAGACTGCAAATCTCTTGTTTACGGACGAAGTGCTATGGGAAGTTGCCTGGGGTGTAGTCTGTGGCATTCCGTGTTTCCCCGCAACGTCACGAACGTCGTCTCTACGTTTCGACCTTGACACGACGGGACTCGGTTCCAGACCATCCTGATCCAAACGCCACGGACATGAAATTCAGCCCATAAAATCATATTTTTGTAATTGGATTGCTTTAGGCTAACTTTGGCCAAGCAGAGCGGCATTGCGCCACTCAGAACTCGTTTGAGCATAAGCGAGAGGGCTTACAATCACCCAGAACACCCGGTATTCGACTTGAATACAGTCCCGGGTCATTTACAGCGTGGTCAGGTGTGATGCGAAGTGGGAAGGAATAGGGAGAAGCACGGAGAAGCCGTCCTTCACTTGTCATTGTGTCTCTTAGCAAGATGCGCATTCACTGCTGAGATTCAGCGAAGTTTTCTCTTTTGGAGCGCAGGTCTTCTCTTGCGTGAAAATTTGTCCATCTATGCCCCATCTATGGACGCCGCCAGCCCCGCTGGTAACTCAATGCTCGTTGAGCCATCCCAGTCCCCATATGGAAAACACCGGCGGGCCAGGTATGAATACCTGCACTCGCATTCAATACCCTCTGCGCATCTCCCTATAAAAGGGCGAAACGTCTCGACCCGCCAGCTTTTCCCCGGATGCGCAGACCCTAGTTGCAATCCACCCCCTCTCTCTTTTATTATTTTCCCTCTCGAGTACTCTCGACTAGGAATCAACTTGGACGTTCCTTGTGGATAGAAACCCTCCAGTTGGATATATATAAGCCATGTTCGGCACACACTCTCGTTTAACTCAGTGGGCTAACGCCTCCTTATTGGCGTTGCTCGCGTTCACTCCTTTACTATCCACAACCGTTCAAGCTGCACCTTTATCCTCCGCCAATGTCACCAAGCGCGCTCCGACCTGGCCTTTCCCGTATGGATCGACCAAGGTCCGGGGTGTGAATTTGGGTGGTTGGCTCGTCTTGGAGGTATGCGTCTCTCGTCGTCATGTCGTCATCGGGCTCACCTTTTTTTGTTACGAATTGTTCTGGATTATTATGGACTTATTATAGCCTTGGATCACCCCCTCATTATTTGACGCTACCGGTGATAGCAGGATCATCGACGAATATACATTCGGACAGTACCAAGATTATAACAAGGCACACACCGCCCTAGTCAACCATTGGAACACTTGGATTACCTATAACGACTTTGTACAAATCAAGAACGCGGGGTGCAGTGTTTCTTGACACATTCATACGTCCAATTACTTACATTCTTGGGCAGATTGAACCATATCCGTCTCCCTATTGGATACTGGGCATGGGACGTCACGGGTGGAGAACCATACCATCAAGGGCAACTTTCCTATCTTACGAGGTGATATTCATGTTCCGGAATCGGAGACATGACTAACAAATGGACCTTCATCTCATGCAGTGCTATTGGATGGGCCCGCCAGCTTGGATTGAAGATCATTATTGACTTGCACGGTGCTCCTGGCTCGCAAGTGAGTGACATTTTTGCGTTCGAAATGGTAGATCCCACTTACGGAGATACTGACCGACTCTCTAGAATGGCTTTGATAACAGTGGTCAAAAGAAGTCGTATCCATTGTGGCACACGAACGCCAGCAATGTACAGAGGTGCAATAATATTATCAAGACTCTTGCCAGCTGGTACTCTAGCCAAACTGATGTCGTTGTTGGAATCGCACCCTTGAACGAGTAAGCAACTTTCCTGAACTGAGGCGTAGGCACAATTTAACGAAGCGATCATCAGACCAGCTGGATTCTTTGGAAATGATGTGCTTAGCGTCACGAGACAATACTGGTACGATAGGTAGGTTGCATCATGCTGGTCGTCTATATTGGGGCCGACTCTTTGTTATAGCTACGGAAATATTCGCTACCCCTATGGAACATCTCAACAAGGTGCTATTCTTGAGGTGATCCACGATGCTTTCCAGCCTCTTGACTACTGGACCGGCTTCTCGCCAAACAGCTTCGACGGTGTTATCATGGGTATGTCACGACTTCAAATACTTACCGACCCTTGACTTATGTCACCTCCTATATAGACACGCACTACTACGGCGTATTTAGTCAGGGTGAAGTTTCTCGCTCCTGGGACCAACAAGTACAAGCCGCCTGTGCCCGCTCTTCCGCGATTCGCAACTTTTATTTGTGGACTATTGTCGGTGAATGGTCTCTTGCCTTCACTGACTGTGCCAAATACTTGAATGGACGCGGTGTCGGCGCACGATATGACGGTTCTTATCCTGGCAGCTCCTACGTTGGCAACTGCTCTCCTTTCACTGGATCGGGTGCCAACTTCTCCAATGACTACAAGGCGTTCTTGAGGAGGTTCTGGGAAGCACAAGTTACCTGTACGTTCATCCGCTATCTTACTGA